CCACCCCGGGGTCGGCCCACGCCGGCCCCACAGGGCTCGGCCTCGGCCCCCATGGGCTCGGCTGAGCCCATGCTCGGCCCATTGGCCGAGCTCCGTGCTCGGCCAATGGCCGGGTCCTCGCGTGGAGCGAGTCCCGCGGCGCGGCCCGCGGCTCCTCCCGAGGGCCCGGGGCCCGTAGCAGCTGGGGGTATATAAACACCCCCCGGTGTCCTAAGTAGACATCTTCTACCTTTTCATACAATACTTGTGACGTTATTACACGTTCTAAACCTCTGTAATAGCGATCTATATCCGATTAATACAATATTTACCTTTTTGTTATTCGTTCTTATATTCCATTTCATATACGAGTTGTATAATCCGGACCCCCGGGTTCATATAATCCATCAGCCCCGATAATAGCTTATTTAATTGATAAAAAACCCCAGACAAACGATAGGATCCGTCTACACCTTTTGGAGATATTTCTTTTGGTTAAGCCTGCATTAAGGTACCAAAGGATATATCTCCACAAGGAGTAGAGGATCCTGCCGTATGTCTGGGCTAAAACAACACATTCTAAACCTGAGAAGATTGACTTCAACGAATGTAAACCCCAACTAATCCATATGTGTTAAATTGCTCCAACAGTTACATGCAACTTAGTGGAGACCCACAACGTCGGGATTGGTTACGGTTTAGACCCATAAAAGAACCTTCTCAGGTTTAGAATGTGTCGCCTTAGACGATAACCACACAGTCCGCCACAGCTACCACCGCCGAGCTCTACTCAAAGGATGTCGAAGCATAGCAGTAGTAACCACTCGGTGACGTATAGATGACGGGGAGTGGGAGAGTATGCTAACTTCTTGCTCCGAGTCAATGTGGGGAAAGATGGGGGCATCTGGCCAGGAAGGGCTGAATTATTGTAGTTTTGTATTTGATTAAGAGGATGTTTATTCTCAGGTTTAGAATGTGTTGTTTTTGTAACTAATTACAATCATAACCATAAGAAGGAGGGCGAGTATGAAGAACATGAGGGTAAATATGAAGAACACGACGAGGAAGAAATGATGCTTGTTGTTGAGATGGATTGGGTAACTCAATTGGTGCCATTTCAACATATAAAAATGTAAAGAAAACCCTTGATACTCGGTCGTTGGGTGTTACTTCCTTTTTATAGGCGAAATACTTGTTCACATTCCCTGACTTGACACATTTAATTTTGACATTTCATAAACATTGAAATGAAATGGAGTTCACACATTTAATGTGCTTCAGATATATTTATAAAGTGCGACAAATACTAGTGCTGCGTGCGTGAAAAAAAATGATGTCCGTTTTTTTAGTCCTTTAAATTGTTGAATGACCACTACAAAATACTGTCCGTTTCGCCAACTACACATGCATAGTTAATAGTCATAAATGACAATTCAATGTTGAAAGATTCCCTTTATGGGAAATAGGTAAATTACTGAAAACGATTAGTGTTTTCACCTACCTTGCCCGTTCGACTGGTAATTGAATAGTGACGGTGTACAACAATTTTTAATATGCTTTAATTTCCACTGTAATATGCGCGAATAAACACTACAATGTGCGTGTTGAAAATAATTTATAATGTGAGATGATATCAAAAAAGTTACATTTACCAAGATTTCCTTTGATTCAATTTTGAAAAGATTTCCTTTATGGGAAATAGGTAAATTACTGACAACGATTAGTCTTGTCACCTACCTTGCCCATACGGCTGTAAATTGGATAGTGACGCTATCCAACAATTTTTAATGTGCTTTAATTTCCACTGTAATATGCGCGAATAAACACTACAATGTGCGTGTTGATAATAATTTATAATGTGAGATGATATCAAACAAGTTACATTTACCAAGATTTCCTTTGATTCAATTTTGAAAAGATTTCCTTTATGGGAAATAGAAAAATTGCTGACAACGATTAGTCTTGTCACCTGACCACGCAACCCCACCTTATGGGTGTGTGGTGAGGAAGGATTTATAGGGGTGAGGTGATTAATTTGCCTATGCATGACAATTTTATATGTAAAATTGCCTTATGGCTTTAGTGTGCGTTGGATACACGCTTAATGTACGTGACAAAATACTTTAAAATGCTTTTATTATTTACTTAATATCAGCTCATGAATACAATACCATGCGTATAGTAAACTTGTTCGTTGACGCATGCTATATTATTTAGAAACGCACATAAGCAACTATGTAAGCGCATATTAAAATATGATGATCTATAACCACGAAAGTAAATGACCCCCACCCACACCCTGTACCATGTTATTATTAGCCTATAAAAGGGAGGTAAGATGCTACAATCCAACATCAAAATTTATTACCTATATATATTGTCTAATTGTTTAATACTCCCACTTGGTTTCTTTGCAATACATGGATATACACAATGCCGTATGGTGACTCTTTCTCACCCACACTGGATCCTTCATCTTTTCTTCATCTCCTTCTTATTCTTCAAAATCTTTATCCTGCTCATATTCCCCCCCAACCCCCTCCCTCTCTTGTTGTTTTCAGCATAATTAATAACTAAAAGCAACACATTCTAAACCTGAAACAACTGACCTGGACAAAGAAGCCCAGGTGACAAATTTCCCTACCTGACAACGCTGGATTGTTCAAGTTGTGGAAGGGGATATCCACATCCCATTCCCAAAATTTAGCTTCCCAAGTATGAAGCATGCTACGAGGGGCTATGATTACAGGATGGCTATCTGGGAAGAGCTTCATAAACGACTGGAGAAACACTATCGTGAGCGGGTGTTTTCCCAGTACTAGGCGCATGCAAGGTTATGCATCCCTTCCCACAATCAGACTGCAGCTTTTTCAGAATCTCGATGTTAGTATCCACACTAATGTTTCTGCACAAGAACTCAAACCCCTCGCGTTGATGAGGATACATTGTACCTTTAGTCCCCGGAGGAAGAACGTCCCACACTGTCGTTCCACCATGTATTGAATCACAATGATTTCCAAAACCACCATCCAATCATTATACAACTTTATATGCGTCTTGATACTTTGACAAATTGAAAACAAAACTATATGCCTGCATTTAATTGTTTATGTGCGTTAGATTATTCTATCAATGCCTTTTAACAAAATCATTAAAAAATTCTATTACTTTCATTTATATTCGACCAATTATCTCAATTCTAAAATGTGCGCTTATGTATAACTTAATGAGCGTATTCGCGTAGACTAATATGCGTAACACTTCGCGTGTCCAAATAGCTTAATGTGCGTGTACACATGGGTTACATGCGCAAGTACACACATCTTTGAACGTGCGAGAGTACTTTAACGAGTGTGCGTGCATTTTATCTTTAATATGCGCACACTAATATTCTAATATGCTTATATTCTGTTCTTGTTGTGCGAACAAACGGCCAAAATTTTTTTAAGTCTTTTGGAGGGATTCGATCCTGGGCGGAGTCGATTTATTCAAAGACTTCTATCATTTCGCCAGTGGGCTCATCCATTTATTCCTTGTATACCGAAATACATGTTGCCTGCCAACTGTTCACAAATCCAAAAGAAAACAATACGCCTGTATTTAATTGTTTATGTGTGTTAGATTATTCATTCATTTCCCAAAATACATAACCTTGATTAACAACTAATAACAAATTAATAATAATAATAATAAAAACATAATATCCCTTTAGAATATCCTTTATGTGCGTAAGATTCCTTAATCAACAACTTTTAACAAGATCATTACAATTTGAATTTCGTTAATTAAACGAGGACATACTGATTTGAATCAGTAATATAATAATTTGTTTAATACTTTAATTGTATATATTATGTCTGTGAGCCTAGTTAATAAAGCTACGATGTGCGTCTCCAAATAGCTTAATGTGCGTGTACACATGGATTACATGCGCAAGTCCACACACCATTTAACGTGCGCGAGTACTTCAACGAATGTGCGACAATTTTATTTTTAATATGCGCACACTAATATTTTAATATGCTTATAAATCTGTTCTTGGTGTGCGAACAAACAGCCAAAAAAATTTTAAGTGTTTAGGGGGGGGGGGGGGGGGGGATTTGATCCTGGGCGGATTCGATGTGTTCAAAGACTTCTACCATTTCACCAATGGGCTCAACCATTTATTACGTATACCAAAATATATGTTGTCTGCCAACTGTTCACAAATCTAAAAGAAAACAATATGCCTGTATTTACTTGTTTATGTGCGTTAGATTATTCATTCATTGCGTATTTTAACAAAATCATTAAAAAATGAATTCCTTTCATTTAAATTCGTCGAATTATCTCAACAGTCGATTTGAATCCTGGTCAATTCAATTCAATTTCGTGCGATGTCAACAAAAATTAACTAAAATACCACCCCGGGTATTAATTTAAAAAAAAAAAAAAAAAGGAAACAAAATACGCAAACCTTTCTTCTTCCCCACTACAGGTAAAGAACTCATTTATTAGAGCTTTTTACCTTTACCACCGCGATTTCCAGTTTTTTTCAAAGTCAGGCAGTATCCTTTGAGCTTTACAAGCTTTTAGTCATTCGACATTGCTTAACTACCAACACCTTGCGTCGCGGAAAGTTTTATTATCAACTCCTTCTAGTTACTAAAAGCAAAAATGGCGTCTGAAGAACATGCAACCTACGCGGCCGAATCAAGCCAACAGCCACCTACTAGAAAAGGTAAGTTTCATACATTCATATCACATGCGCAGCTTACAGATTAATTTCACGCACGTTAGGTCTTGTATGTATAATTTTAAGATTATAGTTTCTCACGCATTGTGATTTTAGTTGACAAACCCTAATAAATTCGAATTCAGGAATATTATTTCGTTGAATGTATACTTCACGTGGATTCATCTTAAAGGTTTTTTCTATGCCGCACATTGTTTACTATTTATACGCATATTCTATTTCTATGTTTTATGATTAACCCCAAAAATTATGAAATTGTTGTACGCATTTTGTTTTCATGTTTAACGCACTCTAACTTGTAGACTGGCGCACATAAATTATGAACTCGCATACCTTCGAACAATGCACACACATTCTGCATTTAGCCTCTTTTGCATTTTAAAAGACCAAAAATTTGTATTTGTTTGCAAATATAGGTTCCAAACGCAAGAGGGAACGTAATATGCAGATTATTGTAGCTCCAGTAGATGATGGACCTATTCATTCTTCAAAAAAGACTCGATCCCGAAAGCCTAAATCTGATGACATTCTTGCATAATTTAAAGAAGTTCAGAACAGGGGGTCATCCTCCATGTTAGTTAATGCCATTGCACAGTTTAATCCAGAACAACAAACTGCAGTACGGGAGATGGGATTTGGAAGTGTTTTAAATCTGACAATCAAAGAATTCCCGAATCACCTATGCTACTGGATCCTACAAAACTATGACGGCATGACAGTGATGAGCATATTTTATACCTTAATTTAAATAAGTTTTTATAGGTTAGTTTTATTATTTATATTTTATATTTGATTATTATTAGTATATTTTATTATATTAGGATTAGATAAGTTAGTTAATAAATTTTAAGTATAATTAGTCTTAATAGTTAATAAAATAAATAAATGAACTAGGGTCCACTTGTTTAAGTAATCTTAATTACCCATTACTTCCTCTTCTTTTTCCCTGTACGTAAATTTAGTAATTTATATTTTGTTTCTTTTTTTGTTTTGTTTACGAACGTCAAGCAGCGGAGTAGAAGGGGAGCGCAGCAAGGCTTTGGACCAGACGACTTTGAGCGGTTCGTTCGCTAAATATTTCTGGAGGAAATTAAACAAAGCTTTTTGAAGATGAATTTGATAGAGAAAGATGCGGTAAGAGCAGAAATTTTAGGGAGGATTGTTGATTTGAAACCCTATAAAAGGAGAGCTATTCTGATGTATTTTGGGCAGATTGTTCCTTTTAAATTCTTAATATTTTAGAATAGTTATTCTATGTCTGGCTAGATTTTCTCAATCTGATTCAAGGGATTTGAAGTTTTAGTTGTGAATTTAGGGAGGTTCTATTTCAATTAATTTATTGGATTCATGTACTTCCTGCTCTTTCAAAGTTAATTTTTCAGGAAGACTGATAGTAAATTAAATTGACGACTTAGTTTATTATTGTTTATCCTATTGCTATCTATGAGTTTATGATCCGTAATTGTCATAAACGATTAGACTGAGTAGCTTGTATTAATTTTATTAATGTGATTAGTACACAAATGACAGGAAGACTAAGTTGCATGTTGTAGCTATCTCAATCTGTGATTTAGGCTTAGTTATTTTCCATTAAAGTGTAATGATGTTATTGGGTGAATATGGAACGCTATCGTCCCCAGTTCATTCAATAACAGTTGTTGGTTCGAATGCTTGGTTTGAATCAATTAAATCAGGGAGATCAAATACTAGTTATGGCTATCCTAATTAGTCTTTGGCTAAGTACTTGAATCTGAACTTTACTTGTTAGAGCCAATGATCTAAGTCACATCTTTAACGTTCATTTTTCCTTGAATCAGAATTCAAAATCCTAAAACTTGTTTACAATTATTATTTATTTTATTTATTTCTTGCAAATCACTTTAATTTCCCAGCTTTGAGTCACTTTAATTTAAGAAACGAACTCATTAGTTCTCTTGGGATTCGACCTGGTCTTGCCACTACTACAAATTAGTGGAGTGAGCCAGTATTAAATTTGTAGGGCTTCGACAACCCTGCCAAATTTTGGCGCCGTTGCCGGGGAACTTATATCGTTTCTTGAATTTGTTATTTTTTTTTTCTTTCTTTCTTTGTGATTGTTTCTGTTGTCCATAGTGTTGCATGACTCGTTCCTCTCATTCAGGAGAATTACAATATATCCCTGAGATTGAGAAAGTCGCAAGGCAACTAAGGAAAGAAACAAAGCAAAGAAATAGCTCCTCGAGTTCTGAAGAGGTAAATTCAACCTGTGATCCAGTAAACGAGGAGGTTGTAAGTAAAATGGCTTAACCAAATAATAGAACACTTAGGGAGTTAGCTGCACCGGATCTAGACCAACAACCTCTATGCATAACAATACCAAATCTTGAGGTTGATTTTGCTTTAAAATCTGGTTTGATTCATTTACTCCCTATTTTTCGAGGTTTGGCTGGTGAAGACCCACATAAACACTTGAAAGAGTTTCAAGTAGTTTGTGCAGGTATGAAACCACGTGGGGTGACTGATGAGCATATAAGTCTTAGAGCATTTCCATTTTCATTAAAAGATAAAGCAAAAGATTGGCTCTATAATCTTTCACCTAATTCAGTTAACACGTGGAATGATGTGAAAAAAATTATTTCTAGAAAAATTCTTCCCTGCATCTAGGGCAACTAATATTAGGAAGGAAATATATGGGATAAGACAATGTACAGGTGAAACATTGTACGAGTATTGGGAAAGATTCAAGGAGTTGTGTTCTAGCTGTCCACACCATCAAATCTCAGACCAACACCTGATACAATACTTTTATGAAGGGCTGTTACCTACGGATAGAAGTATGGTAGATGCAGCTAGTGGTGGTTCTTTGGCTGACAAGACACCCACGGATGCTAGACAATTAATATCAACTATGGCAGAAAATTCTCAACAATATGGGACACGTGCGGATGGATCTATTCGTAGAGTTAACGAGGTAAGTACTTCTCAACTTGAAAATAAAATTTCAGATTTGACTACTCTTGTGCGTCAAATAGCTGTAGGACAAATGCAATCTACAGGAGCATGTGGAGTATGTTCCTTTGTCGGGCATCCCACAGACATGTGCCCAACATTGCAAAATCCAAATCAAGAGTTGAATGCAATAGAGGGATTCCCTGGTCAACCCAACCGAAATTATGATCCCTTTTCAAACCAGTACAATCCCGGATGGAGAGATCATCCAAACTTGAGCTATGGTAACCAAGGAGCACAACCAAGGTTTCAAAGTCAAAATTTAAGACAATTTCAAGCACCTCAGCAATCTCAACCCCAAGCTTCAAACTCTGGTACGTCTTTAGATGAAATTGTTAAAGCACTTGCTAATAACACTCAACAGTTTCAACGAGAAACGAGAGCAAGTATTCAACAATTGGGCAATCAAATTTCCCAATTAGCCACATCTGTTAGCAAGTTGGAAGCCCAAGCTTCGGGGAAACTACCATCACAAACAGAGGTGAACCCCAAAGAGAGTGTGAATGCAATCACATTGAGGAGTGGTAAGCAACTTCAGCCTGAATCTCCATTATCAGTGGAAGAGGAAAAAGATGAAAAATCAAAGGAGGAAAGTGAATCTATCGTCAATGAAAAATCCAAGGTAAGTTCTAAATCCTCTTTTGGTCAATATGATACGTCTCTACCCCCTTTTCCTTCAAGGTTAGCAAAATCAAAAGAAGAAGAACATGAAAATAAAATTCTGGAAACCTTTAGAAAGGTGGAAATCAACATCCCTTTGCTAGAAGCAATAAAGCAAATTCCCAAGTATGCAAAATTTCTAAAGAAACTTTGTACCAATAAGAGGAAGATGAAGAGTAAGGAGACAATCATATTGGGTAAAAATGTTTCAGCCATGATAAGTAATGATCTACCTAAAAAGTGCAAGGATCCAGGTATGTTCACCCTACCTTGTATAATTGGTAATAAAGAGATTAAGCGTGCCATGTTAGATTTAGGTGCGTCAATAAATGTCATGCCATTTTCTATTTATCAAGCTTTAAATATAAATTCTTTGCAAGAGACTAGAATAGTTGTTCAATTAGCTGATCGTTCTTGTGTGCATCCAGTTGGAGTCGTAGAGGATGTTTTAGTGCAAGTTAATGGACTGGTTTTCCCTGTTGATTTTTATGTTTTGAAAATGAATGATGATGCAATAGATCAATCAACTCCAATTTTGTTAGGTAGACCATTTATGAAAACTGCTAAAACAAAGATAGATGTTGATAAGGGTATTCTTTCTGTTGAGTTTAATGGAGAAATTGCTAAATTTAATATTTCTGATGCAATGAAGTATCCTGATGATTATCATTCTCTTTATCATGTGGATGTAATTGATTCAATAGTGCAAGATGTTTTTGAAGATAGTTTTGCTGAAAATTTGTTTGATTTAGAAGCTGAATTTGATTTAGATGAGTTTGTTGATTCTTCTTGTGAAGTTTTATCAGCTGTAATATCTGGTTTAAATTCTGCAAATGCTGATTTTTCTTTAACTCATGAGAAAATGTTGCCATCTGTGTTGCGGGCTCCAACTTTAGAGTTGAAAACTCTACCTGATCACCTCAAGTATGTATACTTAGGTGAGGGAGAGACATTACCCGTCATTATCTCAAATAAGTTGTTACAAGAACAAGAAGATAAGTTGGTTTCACTGTTGAAAGAACACAAAACTGCAATGGGTTGGACTTTAGCTGATATAAAAGGTATAAGTCCAGCTGTTTGTATGCATAGAATCCATTTGGAAGAAGATGCCAGACCAGTAAGGGAGCCACAGAGAAGACTCAACCCAACATTGAAGGATGTGGTATTTAAAGAGGTTCTTAAACTCTTGGATGCAGGTATAATTTACCCGATTTCTGATAGTGAATGGGTAAGTCCAGTGCATGTAGTTCCAAAGAAAACTGGTATAACTGTGGTAAGAAATCAAAAGAATGAATTGGTACCCATGAGAGTACAAAATGGTTGGAGAATGTGCATAGATTTTAGAAAACTGAATTTAGCTACAAGAAAGGATCATTTTCCTTTACCTTTTGTTGATCAAATGTTAGAAAGGTTAGCTGGAAAATCTTGTTTTTGCTTTTTGGATGGATTTTCAGGTTACTATCAGATAACCATTGCTCAAGAAGACCAAGAAAAAACTACTTTTACTTGCCCATTTGGAACATTTGCGTTTAGGCGGATGCCGTTTGGCTTATGTAATGCACCAGGAACATTCCAAAGATGCATGATGAGTATTTTCTCTGAATTTATTGAGAGTTGCATAGAAGTGTTTATGGATGACTTTACTGTTTATGGTGATTCCTTTGAAGTGTGTTTAAATAATTTGTCTAAAGTTTTAAAAAGATGTATTGAAGCGAATTTAGTTCTCAATTATGAGAAATGTCATTTTATGGTTAGTCAAGGAATTGTGTTAGGGCATGTAATTTCAGCGAAGGGGATAGAAGTTGATAAAGCTAAAGTAGATTTGATTGTGAACTTACCCTACCCTACTAATGTTAGGGAAGTTCGTTCTTTTCTTGGACATGCAGGATTTTATCGTAGGTTTATTAAAGATTTCTCAAGGATTGCTGTCCCATTGTCTAAACTATTACAAAAGGAGGTTACTTTTGAGTTCGGAAAGGAATGTCAAGAAGCTTTTGACAAGCTTAAGGCACTGCTGACAAGTGCTCCTGTTATTCAACCTCCAAACTGGGAACTCCCCTTTGAGATTATGTGTGATGCCAGCAACTATGCGGTTGGAGCTGTTTTGGGCCAAAGAGTTGGGAAGCAAAGTCATGTTATATACTATGCTTCAAGAACATTGAATGCTGCACAATGCAGTTACTCCACAACTGAAAAAGAACTTTTAGCTGTTATTTTTGCTTTAGATAAATTTAGATCTTATTTGCTTGGTTCTAAAGTCATAGTTTTTTCTGACCATGCGGCATTAAAGTATCTTTTGGGAAAAAAAGAATCTAAGCCCAGGCTGATAAGATGGATTCTATTACTTCAGGAGTTTGATTTGACGATAAAGGATCGAAAGGGAGCTGAAAATCCAGTGGCGGATCATCTAAGTAGATTGGTAAGAGATGAGGATACACTTCCTATTTCTGAAAATTTTCCTGATGAGCAATTATTCCAGTTGTCAGGTATGGTTCCTTGGTATGCTGATCTTGTTAATTACTTAGTGACTGGAGTTTTACCTGGTTACATTAGTAAGTCTAGGAAAGAAAAAATAAGAAGTGAAGCTAAATATTATGTTTGGGATGAACCATATCTGTGGAAGTTTTGTGCTGACCAAGTAATAAGACGATGTGTGCCTGAAAATGAACAGCATTCAGTTTTAACTTTTTGTCATAATTATGCATGTGGTGGTCATTTTAGTCCTAAACGAACTGCGAGAAAAGTGTTAGATAGTGGTTTGTATTGGGAAAATTTGTTTAAAGATGCATACTTGTGCTGTAAAACTTGTGAAAAATGTCAAAAAACTGGTTCATTATCTCGGAGGAATGAAATGCCTCAAATTCCTATTTTGATTGTGGAAATATTTGACGTGTGGGGCATTGATTTCATGGGACCTTTTCCATCATCTTGTGGCTTTCACTATATTCTGTTAGCTGTTGATTATGTGTTGAAATGGGTGGAAGCGAAAGCCACCAAAACTGATGATTCTTCCGTAGTTGCAGGTTTTATGAAATCTAACATCTTTAACAGATTTGGAGTTCCGCGTGCTGTTATAAGTGATCAAGGGAGTCATTTTTGCAATAAAGTGATTGAAGCATTGTTCAAGAAGTATGGAGTGCATCACAGAACAGCTACAACGTATCATCCCCAAACCAATGGGCAAGCTGAAGTGTCCAATAGAGAGG